GAAAAGTCCAGTTCTGCTGCTCTGGTTGAATGCTTACGAGGAAAAACAGAGGAAGAGATAGTACAGATAACTCTAAAAATGGTAGGTGAAGTTTTGCCTTGTATATGAGGGGCCTTTCTAATTTGATCATAACAGAGCATGCTGTACATGTCCTGTAATATTAAGAGAACTTGAAGAATATCTAACACCTGCCCCTTTTCAGGTAGGACAACATTGCAGCTATGCCATACCTCACCTGAAAAATGTGAACAGGTTCCTTCTCTTTAACTCTGTATGGGCAGTGAGCTACACGTGTTTCTCTGTTGGGTTCTGTTAAGGAAGGAGACAAAAGTATGAGAGTCACAGTCTCTCCTGGAGAGCCTGAACATTACTTAACATCATAACTATGTCCTTCTCTAAATTTCGTATCACAGTGCTAGGTTCCCTCTTCCTTTGCAGATTCAACTCAGAAGTTGGTTCTCCCCTCACAGCATCACACATTCACAGTAGGATTGTGCTTGCTAAGAGCAGATGTAAACTAAGTGTAACCTACATTTTGTGAATATTTAAGATATAGTGCCAATATGCACAAATCTTCTCGGGTTCAAATATCCATTGAGGAAAATTACCTACATTTTCACTTGTGACTTTATTTGTTATGCTTTGAAAATACTGTAAAATGTAAAAATGTTTCTCAGAAGCAAAATTTAAGTAAACCATTCTGCCTTTTGTTTGTATTTTTCCAGGCAGCTGTGCGCATCAGTGCCTGTGTGGATGGTGTATTTCTTCCAAAGAGTCCCAAGCAATTACTGTCTGAAAAAGCAATCAATGCAATCCCCTATATACTAGGAATAAATAACTGTGAATTTGGATGGGGCATTCCTAAAGTAAGAAACTTATAATGGCTGTATTCAGATATACGTTTGTGAATATGAGATTGCCCCCTAAATATATAATCTCTTTGTTATGAAGATGATGAAATTTCCTGATTTTACACACGGTCTGGACAGAGAAGTTGCGTATCAATTGTTACAGAACTCATTAGAGTCATCATTTGAGGTAAGAGACCATTTCCAGAATAACCCAGTGCTACTTCTTGAGTGGGATAATTCAGTATTCATGTTTCTGAAGCTTCACATGGAGACTAGAAAGGACACCTGGGGATGGTTGGCACCAGGAGACCTGCGTGTAGCCATCGGAAGTTTTGCTTCCTTTTGATTTACAAAGCTCTCAGCTTTCTGGTTGCTTTGTGCTCTCCTGAAACCACGAAACTTGAAAAACTGCAAATTAATAGGTTAGAATTAAGAAGCTGATAAACATAGCCAGTACTTGT